CCACTGAGTTGGTTCCAACCCATAGTGACCCTGTATACGGTTTCCAAGGAGTGGCTGGTGAACTTGAACCACCAACCTCTTGGTTCAAACCAACTTTGTAGTCCAGTGCACTAACCCACAGCGCCACACCAGGACTCCCAATACAGATATGTTGTTTTTTGTTGTTAAGTGTCATCAAGTTGATTCTGACCCATAGCGACTCTATATAGGGTTTCCAAGGAACAGCATGTGAGCTTGAACCACCCACCTGGCAGTTTAAATGACTTTGCACTCTGATGCATTAGACCACAGCGCCACAGATAAGAATTTAAATTAAAACAAACCTACATGACTGAGAATATGGAACCAGAGATACCAATTTATAATGAAGTCAACTACAAAGCAAAATGAGGGACTAGTGAAAATGCAAAACTTCCAAATGGCAAGCACTCATGTAGATTTCAAGATAAAGCAGACTTTTTAAGGAAGAAAACAATTAGTAACCTATAGGATAATCTCATAAAATTAATATACCTTCATATCCAAATGAAAAGAGGAAAATCATAAAGATGTAGTACACACTAACATAACAGAAATGAAAATGAAACAAGCTCCACAAAACTGGTGAACTCAGCACAGAAAATTATGTGGAACAAAGAAACTAGCAACATCATAAAAACAAACAGCAAAATGACAGCAATCAATTCATACCTATTGATAATTATGCTGAATGTAAATGGAATAAATATACCAGTCAAGAGACAGAGATAAGAAAACAGAATCTTCCAATATGCTATCTATAAAAGACACATAGAAAAGACAGAGACAGCCTAAATGTCTATCAACAGAAGAATGGTTAAACAAAGTTTAATATATACACACAATGGAATACTACACAATGTTGAATAATGAATATGCAAAACATCTGACATGGATGAACCTGGAGGGCATTATGCTGAGTGAAATTTGTCAATCACAAAAGGTCAAATATTGTATAATCACTGTTTTAAACATTCTATGATGGTAACCTGGGGGATGGGGAGAATTATTCATAGGCTAGAGGGTAGACATATGCTAACCTGGGTACCAGGAAAGAAGGTAGCAGGAGACACAGGGAGGAATGCAGAACTACAGTGAATAAGGTAGATACAAAGAACTGATGATATTCAACCATTTCAAGAGGAAGCATCTGATTTTGAAGGAAAAAGTCCAAGCAGCACTGAAGGTATTGCAAACTGATGCAAAACTGGAGGCATTCACTCATATATGCCAAGAAATTTGGAAGATAGCTACCTGGCCAACAGATTGGAAGAGATCCATATTTGTACTCATTCAAAAGAAAGATGACCCAACAGAATGTGGAAATCATCACAAGATATCATTAATATCATATGCAAATAAAATTTTGAAGATAATTCAGAACGGTTGCAGCAGTACACTGACAGGAGGCTGCCAGAAATTTAGGCCAGATTCAGAAAAGGACATGAAACTAGGGATACTACTTCTGACTTCAAATGGATCTTGGCTGAAAACAAGAAATGTTTCCTTGTGCTCTATTAACTATGCAGAGGCATTCGACTGTGTAGATCATAACAAGCTATGAATAACATGGCAAAGAATGGAAATTCCTGAACACTGAATTGTGCTCATGTGGCACCTGTACATAGACCAAGAGGCATTTGTTCAAACAGAATAATGGGATACTGAATCATTAAAAGACTATAAAGGTGTGCTTCATACTTGTATCCTTTCACCATACTTATTCAATCTGTATGCTGAGCAAGTAATATGAGAAGCTGGATTATATTAGGAAGAATGTGGAGGAAGACCCATTAACAACTTGCAATGTAGATGACACAACTGTATTTGCTGAAGAGAAGATTTGAAATACTGATAATGGTCAAAGACTACAGCCTTCAGTAAGGATTGCACCTCAATGTAAAGAAAATTAAAATCCTCACAACTGGACCAATAAATAACATCATGCTAAACTGAGAAAAGACTGATGCTATCAAATATTTCTTGGATTCACAGTCAATGCTCATGGAAGCAGAAGTCAAGAACTCAAGCAAATCTGCTCCACAAGCCTCCTTACAGTGTTAAAGAGTAAAGTTCCTTTGAGGGCGAAGATGCACCTGACACAAGCTATGGTATTTTGAATCATCTCATATGCATGCAAAAGTTGGACAATGAATAAAGAAGATCAGAGAAGAATCGTGTTGAAATATGGTGTTGGTGAAGAATACTGAAAACCCTATGCTGGGTCGCTATGAGTTGGAACCGACTTGATAGCACTTAACAACAACAACAACATGGACTACCAGAAGAACTAACAAATCTGTTTTAGATGTATGGTCAGACTGCTCCTTGGAAGTGATGATAGCCAGACTTTATCTTCAGTATTTTAGACATGTTGTCAGGGAAAAATAGTCCCTGGAGGACATCATACTCGGTAAAGTGGAAGGTCAGTGAAAGAGGAAGATCTCTAGCTAGATGGATCAACACAGTGGCAGCGACAATGGGAGCAAACATAACCATTTTGAGGATGGTGCATGATAGGGCAGTATTTCATTCTGTTGTACTTAGGATCGTTATGAGTCAGAACCAACTGGATGGTACTTAATTATAACAACACTAAACATACTCAAAGTCCTATCTATAATATCAATTTAAAATTCTACCCCATCTTCAAAGAATTCTTGCTTTAGATATTAATAAAAAGATGCCTTGTGTTTTTCAGAGATACATGTGTTAGTAACTGAGGGGACGTAGAATGTCTGGGATTATTTTTAAATTGGTTCAGAAAGAAGAAAAAAAGGAAACGTACAGAAATCCTAAAATTTTTAAAATTTGGATGATCAGTACTTAGGTATTCTATTTATGTGTATGAATTAAATTCTTCATAAAAAGGGAGGGGAGAGAATAATTGAGTGGATTGCAGGCCTATACTCATTATTGTAATGGCCCTGCAAATAAAAGCTGCTGATGTGGGAGTGACCCATCCTTAAAGATTTTAAAGGAAAAGTTATTTATACAAAAGCATTAGAACAATACCAAATACAAAGAAGAAATAATAGTCCTGCTACCGTAAACATAATCACCATATTCCTTTCTAGTGTTTTATTTTTGTATATTAACACATGTATGTGGTTCAGCTGACTACAGATGTAATTTCTACACGGCTGTACAACCACCATTAATTATCCATATTATTTTCCAGTACTCATAAGTATTTAATGGCTCTATCCTATTTCATCAAATCAATGAACCATAATTTATTTAACATGAAGCAAACTCAGGGGTCCTCAGGAATCCCTTCACTTCTAGCTTTCTGGCTCACACTATTCCCTTGGGTTGGATAATTTGCTAGGACAACTCACAGAACTCAGGAAAGTACTGCACTTTGGATTAATTTTATTACAGCAAAAAGGTCTTGGAGGGTTCCCAGGACAGAGCTTCCACGTCCCAAAATGTGATGTCTTTCACCAGCCAAGAAACCATGGTGCTTCTGTGTCCAGAACTTTTACTGGATGTTCCAGTAAGTATTCCAAACCGCAGCCCCACCCCTCTTTCCTGAGGTTAGTTAATAATACAGGTGATTAAGAGGTAGGTCTTTCGGACCTGATCAGCTCCCACTCAATAGTCACCTAATTAGCAAAATCTCTTAGGTTCCTTTAGAAAGGGACTTATCCTCGTAGTCCAGTTTTCAGCCAAGCAGTAGATAGGTTTATGGGGGGACAACAACTCTAGTAAGGTATGCTCACCATGGAATGGTTAATCATTAAAAAGCTAAAGGGTAACATTTTCCTAAGGACAGGGTTGAGTAGGGATGGAAAGGTGGATAGAATGCAAATAGGAACCCCAGGGAGGAAGCAGGAGAACTGTTGTTACATGGAGGGGATTGTAATCACTGCGATGAAACAAAGTATAGGATTTGTTGAATGTAAAACTGATGATCTGGTCTGTAAACCTTCACTCAAGTCACAATAAAAGTTTACAGAAAAAATTCATGGAAAAATGGAACAAAAAGATAATGGCATTTTTCTATGAACTTTCTGAAGCTCTTGTATATTACTTTATCTTTATCACTTACTTCTCTCCAACTTACTGTCTGCCTCTTATTCTATCCCTGCCTAGACAACAACAGCCTTGCCAGTCTTTCTCATTCCCCACTCCATATCAGATGCTCCAAACCTTTCTCCATTCTGTCAGCACTGATCTTTCTTATTTATCTCAGGTTAAAGTCTTTCAAAGGTATCTCACAACTTGTAAGCATAAGGTGAGAACTCTAGCCTAGCCCATAACACATTCTGCAATGTAGCCCTGCTCACATATCAGTCCCAACTCTCAACACAGTGTACTTTATTAATACATTGTATATACTTTGCTATGAATATTAACAACAAAGTCAGTGCTTGCTTCTCTGTGCCCAGTCTGTGCTATTACATCGCAAAGATGATCGATTGATATTAAATACCTTATAGTACTAAGGTCTCTTAACATAACAAAGAAAACCCACTGTCAAATGGGATTATTAACCACAAGTGTAGGGTTTAGGATTTACAATTTATTTTGAGGGGATACATTCAATCCATAACATATGAGTAGATACAATAAATGCTGGGAACTTCTCTAAAACCAGCACAGCTGGAGTACACTTTTGAGAGGCTTGGGGTGTCTGACCATGTCTGGCACTCCTTCCAGAGACCACTGAGGTCCTCCCATTCAGGGAAGCTGGGCAGCTCTTTGCACTATGCAAGCACTCCCTGTCCTGCCCAACCACTCACATGTGCAATGGTTTCCTACAGGTGCTTCTCTCTTTTCAGCCTTGGCTATCAACAATTAAACATCTCCTGAGGCTTCCTGCTCCAAAAGTTTCAAGTTATTGCTCAGAAGCCCCATTAGTGTATGGGGTGAAAATAGTGAAGAAAAGTAACAAGCTTTTTTTGTTTATAAAAGTATTTGGGGGGTTTTGGTACAGAAGGGAAGAATTACAAGTAGAAATCCAAAGCCCAAATTACCTTTCCTTGCTGCAGCCTCTTTTCTCAGCTTCCTTAATTTCTCCAAAGCCCGAAGGAGGTCCACCATTTTTTTGGTATCTGCTTGCTTTTTCCTCACTTCAGATAAAACGCCATCAGCAGCAGCTTTGAGTTCCTGCTCCTGGGGGGAGAACCAGAGCCCACAAGACCTACCATCAGTAACAAGCTTTCAGCACCAGCTGCCTGGCAGGTTAGATTTCAGGGAATCAGGGTTAAGACAAACTCAACCAGATTCACATCCCACGCACAATTCCTCTCTACACTGGCCATTCCCCTCCACTGATGGCACAACTCTTCTCTCTGCAGTTTCCATGTGAGCACTGGTCTTTGTTTCTTCCTCAGTGTTCCTCAAACTGTGATCCAACCAATACGGGTCCCTTGTGAAAAATGCAAACTTCCAGATGCTAAGATTCAGACTCTCCTAGAAGATACAGAGTGGGGCTGAAAAGGCCTAGGATTTAGTCTACAAAACTCTCCAGGTAACAACCTACACAGAGTTTGCACCCCACTGCTAGTGTTGTCAAGAATCTCTTCCACATGACGGCCTCTCAACCATCTGAAGACCACCATCCTACTCTTAAGTTGGCTCACAAGTTGACTAAATAACCATGACTCCTCAAGCCACTCCTCATGGGACATTTTTCATTATGAGTGGTAAAGAGGAACCTCTAAATGTCTCTCTCCCACCAATCAAATGCTGAAGTGCCACTGAGTCAGTTCTGACTCAAAGAGGCCCTCTAAAGGGTTTCTGAGGAAGAGACTGGTGGGTTTGAACTGCTGACCCTGCAGTTAGCAGTCCTATCCTACAGCAGCACACCAGTGCTGGCATTTCCATCATTACAGTCACACCATGCTACTTCACTGGTCTGCTTGTATTATTTGCTCTGCCTGGCTTTCACCTGGCTTTGACATTTCCTTCAAATGTCAAATGTCAGCTCAGATGTCACTATATCATCCAAGAAACCTTCCCTGACACCTTCTTCCAATTGGTTAGATATACTTCCTCTGGGCTCTAACAGCATCTACATTTGAAATCCTAACAAACAGCAGGCAGTACTGACATGATGCCCCCCATGGGCTCTAAGCCCTTCCAGGATAAAGGCTATCTCTCATTCATCTTTATCTCCAGGCATCAGGCATGACACATATGGCCTCTCATTATTAGTCTCCTGAACCAATTCAAAATCTCCCAGATTAAGCTTGCCTCTTCAGGCATTCTCCTTTAAAACACTGGTAATTCCTGGAGGCACAACAGCAAAACTTGGCATCAATACACCAGTACAAGAATACAATACAATAAATAGTATCAGAAACACGGAGTAGGAAGAATAGCAGTAGCTGCTTACAGAGAGTGGAATGAGAGGCAAAGGAAATCCCTGAGACACTCAAAGGGAGGGAGAATGTCTTAAACACTGATCGATTTCCAATTTCACTGTGGCCTACTTAGAAGATGTGATCAACAGGCTTTGCAATCAGACAACTTGGGCTCAAATCCTGAGAGAAACTGCCACAAACCAGTTGTGTGATGGTGGGTAAATTAACCTCTCTGCACCTCTATATTCTAATTTGTAAACGTGAGATAACAATGCCAACTTCCCAGGACTACTGTAATGATTCAACGAACCTAGCATCAAGTTAAGTGCTCAAAAATACTGTTGCTGAGCCTGGGATCTGTGGTCTAAAACTTGTAAATAAAGGAATCTTGGGGAAATCACCACTATTGTCCCATTTGTTGTTGTTGTTGTTGTTAAGTGCCATCGAGTCTGTTCCGACCCATAGCGACCCTGCAAAGGGTTTCCCAGGAGCGGCTGGTGAGCTTGAACCACCGACCCTGTAGTTCAAACGGCTTTGCAGTCTAGTGCATTAACCTACAGCGCCACACCAGAGCTCCACTGTCCCATTAAGGTATATATCATTTGAGGCAGGATCCCATTGTATTCTGAAAATCACCAGATATGTGCTATCCTTGAATGTTAATAAGTGGACAAAATGTTGGAGCAGCAGACCTGTCATCACTGCAATGCCGCTCTGTGTTAACTAAGCTTATAGCAGCAGGTTGGAAATACAAGCTATCGTTTTATTTTACGAATAAGAATACAAGTTTACTCCTAGGAAACGGCAGAGCAAAGCCTCATTTCCCCTAAGATTTCCAGCACCACCCCTACAAATGTCCACTGTTCTTACCCGCTTCTTCTCCTCCACCTCCTGCACACACTTGACCCTCCAACGATCAATTTCCTGCTCACGTTCCACCGCCCGCGCGGCCTCCGTCTCCCGCTCGGTCTCGCGTTCCCGGGACCGTTCCCGAAGCCGCAGCCGGCGGCGCCGGACCCTCTCCAGTCTCCGCCGCACCTCGCCCACGTAGGCCGCCTGAGTCAGAGGCTGTAGCCTCTCGGCCAGTTCTGCGCGCAGTGGTGCGGCCTGGCCATAGAGTAGGGTCCAGGCTGCGCCGTCTGCTTCGGCCTCGCGCAGGGCCCGGCCCAGGCTCCGCAGCCTCCGCACCAGGCGCAGGGAGGCGCGCAAGCGGGAACGAACTTCGCCTAGAGTAGGCCCAATGGGCGCGCGTGGAGGCGCTGGGCAGCCAGCCCGCCGCTGGGTTCCGAACACCGCATCCAGCCACTGACGGTCGCGCAGGCGCTGCAGGGCCGCCTCCCCGAGCACATCGGACGGCGGCAGCGCCTCAGGCCAGCGCGGATTCCAGGGCGGCTCCAGGCCCGGGGGAGGCGGTCGCGGGCGCTCGCGAGAATCCGACCCGAGGAAGGGTCGGCACTGGGGTGGGGGCGGGGGCAGTGGTGGTGGCGGCACAGGGTAGAAGGCTCCGCCGCCGCCACCA